AGGAACCTTTATATAACGAATTTTTTTCCGGGATTTAGCGACTTCGCGTTGTGTAGAGGTCCGACTGTATTTAGAACATTTTGAGGCCCGGGCGGAAAAAAGAAACAAATGAAAAATATGAAAAACTAAGGTGCGTCCTCATGATGAACCGACTGAAACACAACGCATAAGTTCGCATTAAAGACTTATTTATGCACGATAATAATATTTTTTAGATTTTAGCCCAGTGCTTCTCGAAATTTCAATAATTGCGACCCGATATTCAATCACAATTTTCATCGTGTCCCCCTTCCGTACAGTAACAATGCATTGAATTCAATAACATTATACTTTGACGCTAAAGCTACAATACGACTTAAACGTCTTAAGTGCCATCGGCGTATATAAACGTCACACTCAGCCAAAGCGTTAGTTGCTCTGGACGTATATTTACGTCTTTCAGAAGTTCGATCTTCTCTATGCAGTGCATCCATAAAGTTAATCCAAAGACTTTGGAATGCAATAAAAGAACCTTGGCATTGATTGCGAAGGATTTACTTCTGTGTTTCTGAAACTGTGGGGCGCGTCCCTCTAGGGGGCGTGATAACTCCTCAAGGAGGCACGAGTATTTTGAAAAGTCGAAAACAAAAATTATTTAAGAAAATTACTAATTTATGAAAGGTAAAAACAAACAAAATACATTCTGACATAATAATAAATAAAATACACACATTTACACTAATATAGTTCTCTTATAAATGTATCAGAACTGCACAATGTGCGTTTTAATTAATTAGATATCACTAAGTTAAGATCAAGTTTAATAATTACCAGTGACCCCCGTGGGCTTTTCATATAAAAAATTATAACCAAAAATAATATTTTTCGGGATAATTTAAGCCTTTCAATTAATCCATGAACCATTGATTAAATTTACGTGATTCTCTCCCCATTGCTATAGTTTTCGATGTGGGCATGCGTATGGGATGTATTGCGGGAGGGAAGAAATGAAATTAATAAGCAAATACTCTAAACACTATCAAGGTTCTTTTTATTGCATTTGAAAGCCTTCGGAATAATTTTATGGATAGCAGTGCACAGAAAAGATCGTTCTTCGGAAAGATGTACATATACGTCCGGGGCAATAATCGCTTTGGTTGAGAGAGACATTTATATACGTCGGTGGCACTTAAGAGTTTAACGTCGTGTTGCATCTGTAGCTTCAATGTATAGTATTATTGAATTCAATTCACTGTTATTGTAAGGAGGGACGTGCGGCAGAAATTATGATTGAATATTGGGTCTCAAATCGTAAAAGTTTGAGAAGCACTGATTTACTTATTTCGGAGGGTTTACTTAATTATTCCTTCTCCCCCAATACATCGCGCCTACTTGGAAGACGGTGGCATTCAACCGCGAATCGCGTAACTTTGAATCTCGGAAGTTGATAGATACATTATAAACCGTGCAAATTGTTTTGGTAAGTGTTAATTTTTGTATATAATTTTTTAATTATGAACAAGCTTATGGGACCACTTGTAATTATTAAACGTGTTCTTACCTTAGTATTGTTAAACTAATTATAAAATACATTGTGCAGTACTGATACATTTATAAGTATTATATCAGTGTAAATGTGCATTTAATTTTATTATTGTCAGAATATGTTTTGTTTGTTTACCTTCAGTAAATTAATAATTTTCTTCAATAATCTTTTGTTTTTGACTTTTCTACATTCTCCTGTCCCTCTCGTAGAGTTATCACGCCACTCCTTGGGGCACTCCCCACAGTTTGAGAAACGCAGTGTTAGCCTTGTGTTAGCCCAAACGTCGGAAAGTTAATTTATAATAGGGCTCCTTCAGGTATGGTCAACCACGTTACAAATGTGTGACGCTGACCATGCGCTAAGCTCATTGATAGCTGCTGGACCGAAGTTACCTAGCTATAGAGTGGTGTAAATGCCAATTGTTTGGTATTAGAACCATCTGTCGACGTTAAAAAAATGGCCCAATGTCGTGTTGCCTAAAGAACTGTTATTTTATTGTGGTGGGATGGAGGCGGCTCTAACCGCGGTTTTCTTACTCTTGGGGAATATTTGGTCTTTAAAAATCCTTTTATTTTGAAACTTTCACCCGAAGAAGAAAACGTAAGCACGCAAACTAATACTACTATAAAGTCTGGGCTTTCAAGTTAGAAGAAGAGAGGGCTAGAGATTAATCAATTTGAAGTGAGGCGCAGATATTTAGTAATTGATAATTGTTATATTTAAGTCGACAATCTGCCACTCTAGATTTAATCTAGATTAGGTAGCTAAGAAGTCGAAGTGATTGAATTGGCGTAAGTTTTCTAAGGGATTAAAGTCTTCTCATAAAACACAGCTTGTCCAGCGTTTCATTGTTCAAACGGCTTCTTGTGTTGGTTTCTAATGTTCTGAAGAGCCGAAGAAAATGCTCTTTCAGACTCTACACTAGTAGGCTTTATCGTCATTAAATAGGAGTAAGTTCTTTCCGGGTAGGCACCTCGTCTCTCTCCATTTTCAAAAAAAGAGAAATTTATTTTTGAATTTTTGATGATAGTGTCTCAAATCTAATAGACTGCATTGGTGCATTTTCCTCTTTGATAACTTATCTAGTTCTGCTACACTCAATGGTTTTTGTGTACAAATTGATTCAGTTACTGAATCATAATGTGAATTACTTTCAAGTGTTACCTTATTTGAAATAAAAGATCCAGTTGCATGATCTGTTGGTAATGCAATAGGATTTGGAGCGTCAAGTCTTTCAAACAGGTCCGATATTAATTAACGGCTTTTAATTGAAGAAGAAACTGTGACCAAATCTATTAATGCAATGTTGCTTATATTATTGTGTAATTATTGCAGTAAGCCAATTGGATCCGTGCGACGTTCTACCATACGAGAAATGAGAGCTGCATATATATTTTTTTACTCATAGCACTTATAATTGCCCAAAGACAATTCTATGGACATATTTCCTAAAAAACATTTTCTGAGAATAAAATTCTTAGAAAATTTTGATGAGAAAAAATTTTAATGTAATTCAGACGAAAATTAAATCCTCAGATTAGTTATTGTAATCACACGATTTCGGGATTAGAATAAATACCGTAATCGTGGAATTTCAGGATCTTGTGACCCCGGGGCTGCAAACCCTAGCACGCTGCTTGTACTTCGGTGGACACCGCTTTGCTGTGACGTGTGCTCATCCATTCAACGGCACTGTCAAGCCTGCCTCGATATGCATGAAGTACACTTTGAATATTTACCTTTGTAAATATCTACAATTGTTGCTGTTAATATGTCCAATACGGTAGTTTTTGTACGGTGTACGGTACGGTTCAGTGCTAAGACGTAGTACTTTTTTTTTGTATTTTTCTCATCAACTATGGACCGTATTGGGACACTCAATACCCAGTGAAAATCGTTTAACATGAAACTGAGGGAACCGAAATATTTTCTCCCGTTAACCCTTTATCTACCGACCGTCCTTATAAGTACCACTCACTTTAAAATTACATGGAACAAACATTTTTACGAACACTCGGACGATACTTAGCAGGAATATCCTTTTAAATCCACTCTTCCAAGATATATGACAGCACGGGTTCTACGATGAGTATTTTATCAGGGAAGACGAATAGTTTTATAGCAGAAGTTGCGTTTTCAGCGGATTGCAAAGATTGTCATTTCTGTTCCGAAAAAGCAGCTATTGTCAATAGCTAAGCATCTTATTTTTTGTATCTTAATGAAGGCCTTAGAAATCAATTTGACTATTTGTTTTAAGTGAACAGTGAATATAATTAATTTAACAGTTGAATATAATTAGCTTTAACTGATTAAATTTCCCAAAGTTGAGTATTTTGTTTATGTATATCCCTTAATTTTCAATGTAGTGATTAAAAAAAATACTGCAGTAAAGCATAATGCCGTAGATAAAGGGTTAAACTGTGGTCCACCGACCTCTGGGAGTCCGCAAAGCTTTTCTAAGGAGTCCATGAAGGTTTCTGGTTTGTTTTCAAGATTTACCTCTCTTACGGATACTGAAAAGCCTCGTGGAAAAATTGAAAGATATGACATCCGAGACTACATCGCTAAATATCCCCAATGAAAAAACTCTAGCAAAACATGTATATAGATCCAGAAAATTTGCCCAGTTTTTTTTATTGTGTTTGCAACTCGACACAAAACCATTAATACAAGGCAATTTTTAAAAAATATAGTTTAAAAAACAACAACTAAAACACGCTTTATAGAGTGAATCGAGCTAAAAAGTAAAAAAATAATTCTTAATATACGAATAAAATGATTAAACGAGACAAATGATTAACATTAATAATACAGAAACACAATGTGAAACCCCTTCTCTTATATTTCACACCCCTCTTGAATTTTGCCTGTGCGGCTGGTGTTTTCCCTATTTTGTTCATCCCCAGAAAGGAAATCTTTACGAGTTAAGCAATTTTCGTTTCGTGTTGAGGGAGAAAATGCAAAGTAGTTTGTCGGCACCGTTGTATTATTTCGTGTTAACCGATATTTCATCTTAAGTGTTTTCATGTTAAACGTATATCACTGTATATTCAGCAACACTTTTCCAATTGTGAATTACTTTATACTAGTCAAATCGATGAAAATCTGCAGTTATTATGTATTATAAATATAATTACTCTATATCATATCTAGTGTTTTTTTTTTCCATAAAAATCAACAATAAAAAAATATGGCAAAAATGCTTCGGTATTGAATATGCCTTGCTTCCATTTCAGACAAAAATCAAGAAATAAAAAAAATTAAGTCAATTCCTACTTAGGTCAAATAAGAAAAAAAATTATTCTAGTTAGTATTTATTAAATAATTACAATTAATATAAATTTGTATATACATCTGCCAAAATTACTCTATTAAGTGGCAAAATAGTAAACAATTTTTCTTCCTATACATAGTGTTGGGCTATTATTTTTGTTAGCTACTATCTAATCAATCATAAATCACCTTCTCAGAAATTAGGAGGTGGGATTCGAAACCGCGACCTTTGGATTAAAAGCCCAACAAGCTAACCATTGCGCTACTGGGACACAACGAGCGATTTTCCTTTTTATGTAGGGTGTTGGACTATTATTTTCGTAGTTGCTATTTATTCATTAGTTTAACTTATGAATTAATATTTAAAAAAACTGTATTAACATCAAGCGTTATCCTCTACAAGTTTAAAAAAATTGTAATTGAATTTGAATGGTTGAATAGAAAGTATATTTTATTAACGATTAAAAATTTGAACAATATATATAGGGTGATTGTGAACTAATATTAAGAATTGAAAAAAAGAGGCACACAAAAACATATCTTCTTAAATGACGAATAAATAAAAGAGGTTTCTTTTCAAATAGAAAAGGATAACTTGTTCAAGTTTATTTAAGTAATAAATCCTCGATCTCAGCTGTAACTTTGATTTATAAAGAAACCTTTTCTATAGTGTCAACTTTTGTATTCATGTCCGTAAGTCTCTTATCAAAAAACATGTGCAATTCGCTTAGAAAACGGAATAATTCAATTTATAAGTTGTGATACGAATTGAAAGAGTCTCCCCATTGGGAGAAGCGAGTTTCAGTGATTTGGGATTTTTGGCATCGAAAGGGATTTCGGAAAATCGAAATAGGGGATTCGAAAGTCGCCAATTCCTGTCAACATTTTCAGAGAGATAAGAAATAATCAACTAGTATTTTTTCTCAGTTCTCGATTTCTTTCTCATGAGAAAGTTAAACTTTCTTTAATAAAGTAATACCATTTTTGGCTTTTCTTAAGTTGAAAACAAAACAAAAAATGGTACTTCTTTATTAAATTCTTTCTCACAATCCAAAGACCACCTAATGTGATTAGTTTTACTACATTTCATGTAACTCGAGATAGTTTTTATCTTTAAATAAAATTTTCCTATTTATAAGCTTAAATTAGTATCCTTAAGCCGTTAAAGATAGTTGAGTGCCAAAACAAAAAAAAAACTTCTATGCATTTAAGGATTTCTAAGAAATAATGTGTGTAAGAAAAGATTTACCTTATTTGGAATTCAAACAAAACTTCATGAATATTAACCTCTATAAACTGAATATTTTGTTATGTTTTGTTTTTATTATTTTTTAAAAAATGTTTTACTATTTCTTCCTCAGGTAGAAGGAGCATTTTGATGTAATGGTAAAGAAGAGATTTGTTTATTTCTGCTATTTGTCGTAATATTTCTTTTATCATGATTTATAGAGAAAAACCGCATAAAATTCCGACACATATCATCCAGGAGAGGGATATCAATGTGACAATTAATATTCAAATAAGTCAAAATTAACTACATTTAAAGTCTGTTTTCTATAATTTTATGCTTTTAGAATTAATTACATTTGAAATTGTATTTACTTTCTTATTGATTGATAATTTTATGTACCATTTTGAATAGAATTAAAAAAAATGTTATATACGTAACAATCATGTATAAAAATGATCCTTTTTTTTAAAAAATAATAAGAATATTTACATGTATTTTGTTGAAATGTATTGGTATCTCTTTTCTTCATGCATAAATAAGTTCCAGTGTAGTCGACTTGGATTGCATACAACCAACATTGCTTTCACCCTTTTTCAGTTTGTTACGTACAGGAAGGAATATAAATGCTATTAAAAGCCTTTTGTGTAATTGTATAAAGCTACCAGATATTTAAAATCATTGATATTCATTGGAACATTTTTGCGAAATATATTTTTTTAAAGATCTCAAAGAAATGTCGATATTATGGAAAGAATACAAATCTCACATTAAGTAAGTAGTATACATATATATTCATTTGTTAATATACTGGGTTTCTAATTTGAAATTTCGGTTCTTAGATATTTTTTAGTTCGAACTTTCGGATTTTTTAATTTGAACTTTCGGATTTTTTAATTTGAACTTTCGGATTTTTTAATTTGAACTTTCGGATTTTTTAATTTGAACTTTCGGACTTTTTAATTTGAACTTTCGGATTTTTTAGTTTGAACTTTCGGATTTTTAGTTTGAACTTTCGGATTTTTTTAGTTTGAACATTCGGATTTTTTAATTTGAACTTTCGGATTTTTAATTTGAACTTTCGGATTTTTTTTAGTTTGAACTTTTGGATTTTTTTAGTTTGAACTTTCGGATTTTTTAATTTGAACTTTCGGATTTTTTAATTTGAGCTTTCGGATTTTTTAATTTGAACTTTCGGATTTTTTTTTTTAGTTTGAACTTTCGGATTTTTTTTGAACTTTCAGTTTTTAATTTGAACTCTTTTTTTAGTTTGAACGGATTTTTTTTGAACTTTCGGATTTTTATTTGAACTTTCGGATTTTTTAATTTGAACTTTCGGATTTTTTTAGTTTGAACTTTCGGATTTTTTTAGTTTGAACTTTCGGATTTTTTAATTTGAACTTTCGGATTTTTTAATTTGAAGTTTCGGATTTTTTTTGAACTTTCGGATTTTTTTAGTTTGAACTTTCGGATTTTTTTTGTTTGAACTTTCGGATTTTTTTTTAGTTTGAACTTTCGGATTTTTAATTTGAACTTTCGGATTTTTTAATTTGAACTTTCGGATTTTTAATTTGAACTTTCGGATTTTTTTAGTTTCAACTTTCGGATTTTTTTAGTTTCAACTTTCGGATTTTTTTAGTTTCAACTTTCGGAATTTTAGTTTGAACTTTCGGAATTTTAGTTTGAACTTTTTGATTTTAGATATTTTTTAATTTGAACTTTCGGATCTCAAATATTTTTTATACATATACAACTATCTTTTCTACCTTTACAACTATTTTAAAGATGTGTGCATCATCTTAGATGTTCGATGGTTCACTTATATTATGCACTAAACTGTTTTTGAATTTTAATATTTTAATATAATGTATTTCAGAATGCGATGACGAATAGTTTAATTTTTCAAGTATAATGATTTAATTTTAACTTTTTAACTTTTAATTTTTAAGTTTCTAAATTTTTTGATTAACTTACCTAGTTGCAATAGGGGGAAGGTTGGTGCCATCAAACTAGTTTAACCCCCACTTATCGGTCCTAAGTCCGAGGTTGCACTTAGATATTTTATAAATTTTTATTTTATTTTATAATTTTTTTAATTTTGTTTGAAAACGATGGAATTTTATCTTTTATATTCGCCAATGATATTTTGAAATAGGATTTGGTATTATAAGATTCGTCAATTGATTATTGTGATTGATTGTTGATGATTGCATTTCTATATTTAAATCTCTCTCTCTCTCTCTCTCTCTCTATATATATATATATATATACATGTACGTATGTAAGTTCGTTTTGCTTAGTAATGGTCGCAAGTTTGTCTCGTCAATGTGAAAAAGTACCGCAATTTTGTCCTAGGATTTGAATGTGTGTGTCACAATAAAAAATATGAACGTCCACTGAAGATGCTTCTCCTGAAACCCTACCGACACTCGACAAATTAAGACAACTCGGCCACAACCTTACACACACACACACACACACACACACACACACACACACACGCACACACACACACACACACACATATATATATATATATATATATATATATAAATATATAATATAAATATATATGTATATATTTATATATATATATAAATATATAATATAAATATATATGTATATATTTATATATATATGTGGGAGACAACAAGGGGTCCAAGACGTTTGTCTTTCTTCTATTTTATTTTAAAACTTAAACAAAAATTAATTAAAAAGGTAGCTATTTTAACAGATAAGTTTGACGATGATATGCAGAAGGTAACGCCTGCTCGCGCACCTCTCGCGTTCTCCTTTCTCTCTCTAATTCTGCTCTAATGTCCAAGAGTTTTTGTTTTGGTTTTGATTTGCTGCGCCTGCGCGCGAAGACTGCTTGGTTTTGGCTGCATGCTACAACGGCCATTCTGACCGTACGCTGTCCGCAGCGGTATTTCCATGGAGACCAGAGGAGAATCTGAAACATACAAAAAAAAGACGGAACAGACAAGGACTATACGACAAATATACAAAGATTTAACATATCATAGTTTTGTTGAACTAGACAGTTTCTCCATCATGTGAAGGCACCTCTTCGACATCCGGAAGGTTCCACAGGAAAACATTGTGTTTCACAGGCATAAGAACGTCTTTTTTAACAAGTTGATCTTTGGTTGAACGCATCGATATTTTCCTCTGTAGAGTTCTGGACGTCTGTTCAAAACGATTTCTCTTTTTCCTTCGTTTCCACTGCCAAGGTTGAAAGATTCGTCGGAGCATTGCAAACCGTCTATATTTACTCTTCATAGGTGAAGGGTTATCAGAACAAGATAAACGTCTGGTTCTCTGACACACAGGAATATCATTTTTCAATTTAATACACATTTTTAACTTAGTACTCTTAATTTTATTACATTTATAATTCTTAACTAGCGAACTCAAATCATTTCTAGTATTAAAGTTTTTAACATGTGGCAAATCATAACTAGAGTTTTCTATCACATTTGAAACAGAAACAACATTAGGATAAGCATAAGCATGAGCACCTAAAGAGGATTCACTTTCATTCAATAAAACATCGCTCTTTGCGTGGCCTAGTTTCTTTACTTCAGAATATACACTGGGATGTATAATAATTCCTTCGGTCAAGGTCGGTGATATTGCCGTTCGAACACTTAGGCCGGAAGAGTGTTGATTAAAAGAAAGATTTATCGGTTTAACTTCTACCATACGCTGTTCGCCAAAACATGAACTTAATGTTATGATCTCTTCGGAAGGTGTTTGCACTCTAATTAGTGAGGAATTTAAAACTGGGATCTGGCAACCTGAATCGATCAAGGCTGTTACGGGCTGATTTTCCACAAAAATGCTTACGTATTGAAGATTTGCAAATTCATCGCTATTTTGTTTTTCGCTCTCGACTTCAAAGTATTCACGTTTATTCTATTATGGATGTGGTCGTTAGATTCTTTAGGTTTAAAACGCTTCTCACAGTCTCTTGCGCAATGAGATGAATCACCGCATATATAGCAATTTTTATTTTCTCTTTCAAGATATTGGGGA